AAAGCACGTGCTGTTAGAATATACAAGTTATCTGCAGAGCCTGATTCAGAGCTGGCAAGCTGAGTACTATCCCAGACCTGCTAGGATGAGATCAAGGTAGTTTCTCACCCATTTATGTGGAACAAATTAAGAGACTGAGGCTGTGTGTTGACTGTTGACCTATATCATGAAGCGTGGCAAGTACAGCTTCCTTTTCTTTGCAAATTGTTTCTGTGGTTTCACCAAGTAGCACTACTTTCCCTATATTTTTGCATAACGATATTTCTGGAGTTGGCCTAAAAGAGAAAAATTCATGACTCTTTAATCTGGAGGTTCACAATGTCACTCTAGAAAACTTGCAGCAGAAGGGAGAGAAGACAGGAAACATCTGAAGTACCTGCTTTAGTGTTATGCAGGTGGACTATAAGTATTTACAATATTCGTTGCAAAGAGGTTTGTACATCCTAAATTGAATAGCATTATAAGTGGAAACAACTTGGATCTGGCTTAGCAGAAGCCTGAACAATGCTTACAATAATCTTATAGAAAAGCCTGGTCTTTATGCTCTGTTTCACGGACTTCAGGCTGTAGTTGGTTTGCTTTTCATCATGGCATCCATCCAACCAGACAGTTTGCTTTTTTTCTTTTTTCCTCCATTAGCTAGTGACTCCACAGTGTAGCTCTAAGACTGTGGCAGCTCATGACTGAGAAAGCTCCTGCCCAGCTGCTCCTGCCATATTTCTGCTGTATGAATTTGTAGATGGTCATTAGGGAGTGATTACTGATGAGCTTGCTAGCTTTCTTCTAAGAGCAACTTTTTAAGTGCCAACTAATTCTCCAGCTGAGATATTGTCTTGTAAGTGCTCATTAAAGCAAAGATTAGGAGAACCAATCTTGGCGGTGATGTTCTCTACATCCAGATTGAAGCAAGTGGTTATGAAATAGCACATTTCATCAGGAAAGTGCCTCTGTCTCTACTCTGGGCTTCAGAGTGATTTGTAGTGGGATCTATTAATAAAGGATACTATTCAGTTTACTCTGATGCACCAGTACTAATACGTATGTATATATTATTGTTGTAAAAGGAGGGATCAGAAGGAGGTTTGTATGATATGTAATCAGGATCCTGTGGCGGTCACTCGACATGCTACCTATGATAGTCCAGCCTTCTAAAGGAATGGCAGGGCATTCCCACTTCCTGCTGCCCTTACAAAGGGCTGTACAGTTTAACATCTAATGCTGAGAATTAGGAGTTCAGGTTAAGCCCCTGGTATACAGAAAATGCTTAGAGCCCTTCTGCTCAGCAGTAGAAATGTGTGAGGTAGCTAATGTGCTACTCCCCTTCAGTTGCATCACCTCAAGTGAGGTCAACTGAAAGGATGCATTTAACAGACCCACTAATGTATCCTCTGCTGGAGGGTGATGGGGATAATATTGCTGTAGACCAAGATGTTTGCTACCTATTATTCCCAGGGTTACTGTCAAGGTACTAATTCCCTACTCGTAAACCCACCTATGACTCCTTTGTTTTGTGTTTTAAGAAGCTACTGTCTTAAAAGCAGGGGCTTTTACACAGTAGTTAGCGAACTCCAAAACCATTGTGACATACTTGTCTGGGGATCATTTGTTTTAGAGAAATGATTTAGCAGTCAGAGATCTTCTTTTCTCTAGAATTTAAGTTCTTGTGCAGAAGGTGAAGAATTCCTCACGTTTGCGTGTGTGTGCTAAATAACTGGCTACTATCTTTGTACTAACACAGCATTGCAGAAAATGCCCTAGCAAAAGGGCAAGAGGGTGAAAGCATGTCCTTTCCTGTTCTTTTTATCTTAAAATATACAGCTGTTAACACTTGCCTAGGAGCATTACTTATATAGTAGAGCATTCTCCTGTAAGGCTGCCTTATGATTAGCTATGCTACCTGCTTGCAGTATCTTTGTCCCTCAACTTAATTATGGAACTATGGAGAGTTTTATTGCACTTAGGAACCTAATCTTTTCCTCAGAGAACTTCTCAGAAGACAGCTATCTGGACGAAGCCATCGCAAATCTTCCAGCAGGACTAGATAAAACTTAGAAGATTCAAGACTCATTTTGTCTATCCATCAGTCTCTTGGCTGTAGTTCACATAAGCAGTACTAGTTAGAGTAGAGATAGAAGTCAGACATCAGATAAGCATTCTGTTTTATACTTATCAATGTGATGCAATATTTTTAAATAAGACTTGTGTTAGTTTAACTGAAATTAAGAGGATTTATGCAATCTGTAACTCAAAAGTGCATGTCTGAGAAGTGGGGTCAGCACTAAATTCAGTTTCTCCTAGCTCAGATGTACTTTTTTATCTATAAAAGGACTGTTTTTAGTCTGCTATTCTGTGTTCCTCATTAGACAACTTGTTTCTCCTCTCACAGGTCTGCCAGCCAGCCCAGAGAGCACCCCGGCCAAGGTTTGCACTGTGAGCAACCCATGTATTTCCTCACCTCGTCCAGCTGCCTGTGCTCCCAGTTATTCTGGAGATCTTCCTCTTTCTACAAATACTCCAACAGTCTCTCTCAAAACCCAAATGGCCACAACCTGTACACCAGCAAAGCAGAGCAGAGCCAGCCCATGCGCTTCCCCCAGGCTGATACCTTCCTCCAAAATGTCCATTAAACACTGGGTTACTAGGACTCCAGGCTCATCTCCTTCAGACGTGGGGAAAAAGGCTCCTTCTCCTAGGAAAGCCCTGGCAGAAGTCACACAAGGTCTCTTGGAGACAGCTTGCACTCCTAAAACAACACACTCACAGCTTGAAAAGCGTGCCAAAAGAAGGCTTGATTGCAGCAAAGAAGATGACGTGGGGCAGAAGTGTCTGCAGACCTGTAGCTGCGTGACTGAACTGGACCGTGTGGCTAAGAAATCCAAGCTAAATTTATGTCATCTGGCTGCAGGCCAAAATGCTTGTGAGGAAAGTTCTTTAAGTCTGGCAGAGTTGGATAATGACCATGAAGGCTCTAGCCACAGCCCAAAAGAGCCTTCTTTTCCTGGAAGCCCTCTGAATCCATCAGGATTTCAAACTCCCCCTCTTTTCAGATCTCCTTGCGGGCAAGGGACTGGCATAGTAGATAAAGAAAACAGTTCACCTGGAAGAAAAAACTGGCTCTCTGCTCTGGGAGAGAAGTTAAAGACTGGCAAAGCTGGCAACCGGAGTGCATCAAACAGCCCCCCATCATCTTGCAATCCTGGTGCAAAACGACAAGAGGCAGTGGCCACTTCACCAAGAGCTGTAAGTAGAAGGGTCAGTCATGGTGGTGGTGAAAGAGGTTATCGCTAGTTACTACTGTTTCCTTGTTGTACGTGTTTGGTTGTCTCCTATTCAAGCATTTCAAGAAGTATATGATCTCTTTGATTACGGACAAAGAAAAAGGAGATGATTTCTGATTGAAATAAGCCTTGATACTGTTCTAACAAACATCTTCATCTACTAATCCCCTCTGTACAGGAAGAGAGTTTGCAGAATCCTCTGGTCTCTCATCTGAAAGGAACAGGAGCTCAGAAATCCTCACAGTTCCCAGTTAGGTGTTCTAAGGATGTAGCCATCATCTGAAATAAAGCTCTGCTCCAAGAAGTATAATAATGACAGCACCTTTTCTGGCAGATGTACTGTTTATGTGTGTTTACTGTCGTATCTGCCTATTCATGTTACTGCAAAGCCACTTCAGCATTGAAAGAAGCAGCTAAATCTTATTCTAGCCCAGGTAGCAAAAGAATTTGTTACCTGTGTTAAAATTGTGTGGATAAATTCTGCCTTTGATTCCTTCTGCTGGAAACTAATAGAAAATGAAGGTGTTGCAGAAGAGTCAGAGGGCAGATGTGACCTACATAATCCTGTTTTTGATGTATGAGAAACTCATCCTAGGATCTGAAAGTTAAGCTTGTAAAGCAGTTAAAAAGTAGGCATGGGAGACAGAGGTTTAACATGCAAACTGAGATACAATGATGAACTTTCTAAAACAAACTCATCTGTTTGCTGAAACTGGACTCCAAATCCTACAGTGTCCATAATTTAGATTCTTATTTCAGCAAACCTTATGTAAATTTTCAATCATCAAATTATAGTGTCATTCTCCATTCAGTATCTGATGCTAGAAGTTGTTGCCATGACTAAGTGTTATTTTGGTAAAATCTCCTGCTTCACCTAATTTCATTTTTTAGCACTTCTGTCAGATATGAAGTGGGCAAGCTACCACTCCATACCTTGGAAGTCATGCATAGGATTTGAGCTTTCAGGATTGTGGTTGCACCAAGAAGTCTTGGTTGTAAAAAACCTAGACCTGTTTTGCTTGATGCTGAACTGTATGAATAGAAGTCACAAAGATTTTCCCTGGAGAGGGATTACTAATGAAGAACTCTCTTCCCACCCAGTACACTTTAGCTCAAATCTCAGGATGCTCTTGGTCTGGGCTGCATGCAAAGCAAGGTGCTTGGAGTGCCACCAAAATTCATTGATCTATTGTGTGTTGGAAACCTGCAGCTCTATTGTCTGCTGTAGCCAGAGTGATTCTCCCAGGGCAGGAAAGCAGCCTCGGGTTTTAGCCAATGTTTCCTGTAGCTACTAAGCTTCTTATCTGTAAGACAAACAGATTACAGCAAAGAACCTCTCATTGAGAGTCTTATTTGAGGAGCTAAACAAACTAGAGCAGTGATGGAGGGGAGACTTCAAGATTCCTGCAGCACATGAAGTGTTAATATTGAAAGGTTTCTTCATCCTGTTTTTTTTGGTGTAAGCAGTTCAGTTTCCATGAGGAAGATCTGCACATACTTCCACAGAAAGCCACAGAACGACTAGAGCGGTGTGTGGCGGTTGTGCTGGTGGATGTCGACACTGTGGTATCAAGACCAGATTTAGCAACAGTGTCAGAGTAATGCACTGGGATTACACAGCTTGTGGTCAGAGCTTAATAAACATGGATTTTTGTTCTCCTGTTTTTAAATCTGTTAACACTTGAAATCAGCCGAGTGTGGAACACTTATACAATGTGTATGGAGACTCATGGTTGCTTAGTGAGTCCAGATGATGGACTTTTTCAATGCATTCTTTTTGTTTTATAAAGAAAACTTCCCATGTGTTGATTGATAAATGGCAAAGGCAGGAACATATTTGCTGTGTGTTGTTGGCAGGCACGCACAGCTTGTCAGTTCGTGTTACTATCGTGCTGGTGAAGCCTTCTCTCCGCCCGAGTCCTGTGGGAGCCTTTGCACCCTCTGGAGCAGCGCGAGCTGGGAAGCCTGGGGAGCAGCTCTCAGCACGGGCAGCCCCAAGGCCCTTGGTGCCAAGTGCCGCTTTCACGGCTGGTCCTCTGCTGCAGCAACGACTCCGACTTTTGGCAGGAAGGTTATACGGGTGGCTTCCTGCAAGAATGAAAGATTTCTAACTGGCCTGTGTATCTGTCTCCGTCTGATAGCACAGCTGGTGATTATAGGGCATGAAGTATAGTCCTTTTGCCATCCCCTTCCCTCTCGCTCTGAAAACTCCTGTATTTACAGACTTAGCTGACTTTGGAGCCAGCAGCACTACAGCTGTTAAGGCTGACAATCTGTTACCTCTTTGAATTAAAGTATGGCAAGCTGTGTTACAAAGGGTTAGTTTCATCTATCTGAAATCTGGCATTCCATAAAAGATAGTTGCTCTGTGACCTCCCAGAGGCGGCTCTGTAGCAAGGGCCCTAATAGCTGCTAATAAACTGCTAATCACTACTAAAAATTCATAACACTTTTATAAGCAGCATTTATAAAATAATAATTTGTAAATTTGGGGGGGGGCACTTGACATTTTAGAAAGCACTTGCCGTTTTACATATTAGTAATAAATGTAAGTCATCAGTGATGCTGATAGAAAAAGGTCACTAGCTTAAACGAGGTCCCAGTCCTTCTGGCTAATGATACGAACTAAATCATAGGTTTCCATAGGAGTAGCTAATATAGAAGATCCACAGCATAGACTGCAGCATTTAGTCTTGCTTCTGGTATAATGTTTCCTAGAAGATAGTCCCTCAATCCCTAGTAAGTTTTCATACTGCAAAACTATTCAGGTAATTGAATATGATGTGATTCAAATACAACAAGTTTTCTATCTGCAAATTTTACACATGCTCTTCCAGAAAGGGATTAGAGGAAAACATGTTGGTTTATATCTTATTTTATTTTTTGTGGACTGTATTTTGCAAGGAAATATTTTTTGTGAAAGCTCTCTTACAACTGTAAAGCAAGAATAAAACAAATTTAAAATGGTTATCACTAAGTTGCATTTTTTTTTTGCAGGAGCTGAGCTATGAATAGGAATAGAACAACCTTCAGACAGATTTAATTCTGTCTTAATTGTAATTAATCAGAGCAACTGTGTATGGTTCGAAATGCCTGCAGGATTCTTCCACTGAGTTTGCAGACAGCAAGTTGCAGTGTAAGGAGATCTGGATGCTCTTGAAGCACCTGAGAGTCTGGTCAGCAGTTCTGAAAGCAATAAGATTTCAAGATCCTCCCTCTCGCAGTATTTCACTTCTGCAGAAATAGCCCATGTTCAAACCATTATCTTCTGTAGCTTGTAAATGATTATCTAGGAGGATAAGCACTTGCATTAATCATCTGCATACAAATATGAAATTCTTCCTCCTTTTAATGATAGCTAGTGGAACAGCTGCTTTTATGAACCACCAGCACTAATTTCCCTCCTCTTAAGCTAAACTCAACTTGTTTGAGTTTAAGAGAAGAAACTGAAACTTAGGTCCTATGGCCAAGCACCTGAGTCTTATAAAATCACGATTGCAGAAGCATAGAAAAAGAATCACAGATAGGAGTCCTACATCAAGTGGTTTAAGGCAGCAAGTGCTGTCTGAGATGCTTGCTGAACTAAATATCAGGAATTAAGGACCTCTTGTCCTGAGCCAGCAGGCTCTGTTTCTGAACCATTTTCTAAAGGGTTACCAAAAGCTCTACTTCATGTTTTGAAGTAGAAATGAAAGCTTTTGTGGTATTCCCAATGTCTCTCTCCACATATATATATATTTGTGTGCATTATAAATATATGTAGACCTACTTTATATATCTTGCTGGGTCTGCTACATGGCCACACTCTGGCCTCACTGTCTGCCTCTGATTGCCACTTGGAGACTGGTTTCTGCATGTGTGTGCGTGTCCAGGGATGAGCACCTGGAAGAGCACGGATCCAGGAGCAGCTGTTGGATGCAGTGTGTGTGGATGGATTCACGGTGCACATGTACGCATGTATGTTGCCTCCCCAGTGCAAGAAGGACATTGAGTTTCTAGAGAGGATCCAGCGGAGAGCTGCAAAAATGATTGAGGCACTGGAGCATGTGTCGTATGAGGGAAGACTACGTGAGCAGGGCCTGTTTAGCCTGGAGAAAAGAAGGCTGAGAGGAGATCTGATCAACATGTTCAAGTATCTGAGGGGTGACTGTAGGGAGGAGGGGGCCAGGCTCTTCTCCGCGGTGGCCAGTGACAGGACGAGGGGTAATGGGTGTAAGTTGAAACACAGGAAGTTCCACCTCCATGTGAGGAAGAACTTCTTTCCTGTGAGGGTGACAGAGCCCTGGAACAGGCTGCCCAGAAAGGTTGTGGAATCTCCTTCTTTGGGGATCTTCAAAACCCACCTGGATGCCACCCCGTGCCACGAGCTCTAGGTGTTCCTGCTGGAGCAGGGGGTTGGACTAGATGATCTTGAGAGGTCCCTTCCAACCTCTACCATTCTGTGATTCTGTGATTCTGTGTGTTCAAGTGAGGTAAACCTCAGTTTACTCTTCCATTCCCATTTTTGCAGGAGGTGTTAAGTATCCAAAAAATAGACTAATAACAGTCGGATGATCTTCCTCCTCTGTAGGACTGCAAAGCCAGTTACACCGTATGTTGCAGCGATAGCAAAGCAGGCCTGTGTTGACAAGAGGTTTGGCAAATATTGGCAGATTGTATTACTGAATTATTCAGTGTCACCATTATTTTTACTCTGCTTACCTTCTTGGACTTGCTGAGGGAGGAAAGGAGAGTATATACAATGAGATTAGAGAATTGATTGGATTCTTGCAAGCAGCATGTGACAGAAATAAACCAAACAAGCTCTGATTTGTCTGAGTAGACTTTGATTCGCTGTAGGTAGCTGATAGCAAGGTGGTAAATGAAAGCTAGAAGTGTTGCACTGTAGGAAACCAGTTGCTTGCACATGAGTAATTTTAAGAGGTGAGACTGGAGTAACTGAAGAGAAAATTGACATTTGCAGAAGTAGGCAAAGGGGAAAAAAATCAATCCATCTAAGAATAAAATTCAAAGAACAAAGCACATTGCATAAGAGATTCAATTAGCAGGAGACTATATGTTTCCCATGCTTGTTACTGAAAGAGCAGGACTTGGAGGCCACATTCTGCCTTTGAGCCACACTCACATCCCTATCCTACATATTTTTTCCCTTTGTGAAATGGGATGGTTGTCCATACTGGCTGGTTCTTCCAATTCAGATAGAGTAGGAGTTTAAAGGCCTTTTCCTGTCCTTTTACAATCTGTCACCCTTTCTCCAGAATAAGGAGTGCCCGCTCTGGTTTCGCCTAATCTGCTTTTGGAAAGCAGTATGTTTGACATAGGATTAAGGTGAACCGGAATAAGGCTTTCGTGTGTCAGCACAAGCCTGTCTTTGCCCTGGGTTACTCAGAAACAGTTATTCTGAAGTAACAGTTCTCTCTAACTCCTACGTAGGCGGTCCTTGAAGAAAGTGATGCGAGACTGCTAGGTGAGGGGTATTACATAAATGCAGTGTGTATTTTCAAGCGAGAAGGCAGAAGGAATTTTTTTCCTACTTGACAACTCCCTAATTTTCTCAACCTGGCATCTCAAGCCCCATCACAGGGATATCAGGCAAGGCAAATGGCTCAAACAGTATATATATACAAGGTATATAATATATACACACACATGCATTTTTTTTCTTAGCTCTGGCGCAAGTGAGCAGAGGAGCAAAGGCCTTCGCTGCTCTCAGGCAAAGGGCCATTTTCCACGGCAGTGAGGGCAGCACTAGTTTTCATGCCTTGGCCAGACTGGCAGCAAGGTGGCGAGCTTGATGTTAGCCATGGTACATCCACTGGTCTTTTATGGAACTGGTTTTAATGTATATCACAAGGGTGATCTGAGTGTCTCTTTTTCCTCACTCCTTTGGGCTCTCTGTTGTAATACTCTATGGGATTATTCTTCAGCTGACCAAAGTTCCTGCTAAATTCAAGTAGTCTGTGTCCAGAGGGACCTGGACAGACTGGACAACTGGGCAGTGAAAAACCTCATGAAATTCAACAAGGCCAAGTGCAAGGTCCTGCACCTGGGGAGGAATAACCCCAGACACCAGTACAGGCTGGGGACTTTTTTTTGCATTAAGAAGAGTGTCTCCAGCAGGTCGAGGGAGGTGATCCTGCCCCTCTACTCAGCCCTGGTGAGGCCGCATCTGGAGTACTGTGTCCAGTTCTGGGCTCCACAGTACAAGAGGGATGTGGAGCTTCTGGAGAGGGTCCAGCGCAGGGCTACAAGGATGATCAGGGGCCTGGAACATCTGCCCTGTGAGGAGAGGCTGAGGGAGCTGGGCCTGTTCAGCCTGGAGAAGAGAAGGCTGAGAGGGAATCTGATCAGTGTCTATAAGTACCTCAAGGGAGGGAGTGAGGAGGATGGTGCCCGCCTCTTTTCACTTGTGTCCACCAACAGAACTAGAAGAAATGGCCAGAAACTGAAGCATCAAAAGTTCCACAGGAACTTAAGGAAAAATTTCTTAACAGTGAGGGTGACAGAGCCCTGGAACAGGCTGCCCAGAGAGGTTGTGGAATCTCCTTCTCTGAAGATCTTCAAAACCCGCTTGGATGCCACCCTGTGCCGCGTGCTCTAGGTGACCCTGCGTGTGCAGGGGGGTTGGACTAGATGACCTTTAGAGTCACCCTTAAGCATTCTATGATTCTATGTGCTCACATCTGTGCCCACAGAACAGGCATTTTCCACCTCCTGGTGATGTACAGCTGGAAAGTGCTCCCCAGTGGGATAGGCCCAGACTTGGGATACACATCCACCAAGTCGCCGAAGGCAGCCAGGGCAAATTCCCCATTCAGGAGCAGAAAACGAGGCATTTTGGGGAGCTGAGATCCATGACTTACACCATCAAAGCCTGAGCGCCAAGCAGACATGCTCAAGCAAACCTCCAGCTGGGCTGCACTGACTGAAGATCTTGCCGCTGCCCTATTAG